GGCGCTTCCTGGAACCTCTGGCTCCTTTGGGATCCATGTCCTAAAGCGGCTCCTGCCAGGTCAGTGACATGAAGGAGAAAGTGCCCAGATCACCAGGAGCTCCTCACTCCTGTCCCACCACCTGCTGTCTGTGCCCAATCCTGTGTTGCCCCCCATGACTCGGTGCAGTCATGGCACAGTCAGAAATTGCATCTTTGGCAATATCAGAGCTTCATTTCCTCAGAGATATTTATCCTGGGTGGATTTTTTTTTTTTTTTTTTTTTTTTTTTTGCTACAAAAGAAATGACTTTTGTCAAGAGCTCCAAATGAAATAATTTGGCTCATAATTTTATCCTGATTAGAAAGACTCTTACCCTGCATATTGCTTCACTCTCCAAATGCCTTCCCTGTCCTGACAGGCTTCTACCATTCCTTGTTTCTTCCCTGAGGGATCAGAATCCCTCCAGCAGCAGAGGGATGCTGGTGGCACTGGAATACTGGCAGTGCTGGCAGTGCTCGTGAGTCAGCTGGGTGCTTCTCAGAAGCAACACTCATTCCAGGAAGGGCTCCATGATCATTGCCAAAACATGCCCTGGTCCCAAGGAAGCACAGCCCAGCTGCTACCTATCCTATCCCATCATATCCTCATTCCTGCTCTTCATCACCATCCCATTCCCACCCTGTTCTCCTTCCTCACCCCATCCTATCACATCCCACAGATTTCCCAGACAGCTGCAGCTCCCCCACTCTGAGCATGGCCTGTCAGGCTCTGCTCTCCTCTGGCCTTCCCGGTATCCAGAGCCCCTCCAACAGCCTCTGACCCTCTTCTACCACTCTGAAACTGCCTGCAACACCCCAGACTGTCCCAGGGGCCCCCTTTTCTCCCCCAACAGCCCCACTCCTGCCCTGCTCCACACACCCCAGCAGTGCCCCGCTCCTCCTGGCCACAGTGTTCTAGGATCCAGGAGGGATCCTCCTGCCCTGTGCTCCTCAGGATCACACAAGATGATAAATGTGGCTGGAGCCAGTGCAGAAACAGACAAGGAGGCCTGCAGTGGTGCTGGGGCAAATTCTGTAAAAAGAATCAAGAGCACATGGCCAAAGGAAAAGTTCAAGGCAAGGTCACCTTTAATATCACAGGACTCTGAATGTGACCACCAGAGACCCCTCTGAATGATCCTCCAGGACCAGGAAAGGACTTGGAGAAGGAGGTGAATGCATGGAAATTAGTCCTAGGAAAGTGATGTTTATGTATTAGATAAGAAAGACATTTCAATGACTCTATGTGGTTATGATGGATAAAAACGTGCAGTGTTGTTCTATCACACACAGGACAAGAAGAGATCCTTCTGTGTGTCCTGTGGAGGTAAAGAGTTCCTGTGTCCTAATGCTTCTCATCGTGATGGAAAGTATATTCTGGCTGATTTTGGTATCACGCCCAATTCCCCTCTCTGCTCCTCTCCCCGTCCTGTCCCGTCCTGTCCCATGGCCGCTCCGTGCCTTGAAGCGCTGCCCACTCTGCTGCTCTCCAGTCAGGACATTTGGGATCAGCAGCATCCAGGCCCTTCTTGAACTTCTCTAGACCCTTCCAGAACCCTGCCATGTTTCTGGAACCCTCCAACCACCTCCAGTCCCGCCCCAGGGCCGCCTTTTCCCCTAGGACAGCCCCGCTCCTGCCCTGCTCCACCTGGGGCCATGAGCAGTGT